CCCTGGGCTTTGCTCTCATGCCACCACAACCCCACTGGAAAAAAAAAAAAAAAAAAAAAAAAAAAAAAGACCAAAACAGTATTTTTGTTAGTCTCTATTTATATATGCTCTCCATGGCACTGTGTTACCAGCTGTTGTCTGTACTAGGTCTGCATTAGAGTATAACGCTGTTTGTAATGGGTGATGCTGACGTGTTCGTTAGGGTGTTGAAAGGCACTTTATCCTTTGGGGCCTTCCCGGGGATGGTATTTGCTCCCTGCAAACACACCAAGGAGCCTTTTCCCCCGTGGGCCCCCACTGGGGAGGGAGCGCTGGTCCCATCCCACCCCACGCCAAGGGTGCTCGCGGCATCGCTGCCGTGCCAAAACAGGGCCCGGTCCCTATTGCCGGAGGCAAGGCAGGGGCTCGTCAGCCTTAAAGCCATGTGGAGAGATAACCCTCCGTAGGAGCTTGGTGCTAAACTCTCAGCTGGGAGAGAGAGAGACCCGTCCCCTGCCAGGGGAACAACTCCAGGCCGGGGTCCCTCGCCGGCGCAGGGGATCCCGGCTGGGACTCTACCTCGGCTCTGCGCTCACATCCAGGGGCTGCCTGCGTTCGCATGGGCACCGCGCGCCCGCCCGGGGACCACGATGCCCCTTGAAGGACCAAGTGTCTTGATGAAGCCCTGAGTGACCCTGTGACTTGGCACCCACCTCTCGCTGGCCTTCACCCCCCCATGTCGCCTCCTCCCCGTCCCCCGTCGCAGTTCGAACCATGTAACTCCCGCTCCGGCTTCTTCCGTGTGACACTAGGTCAACATCTCTCCTGTCTCCTCCTATCGGGTGTCGTGACTCTCTGAAAACATCTCACTCTGAGAATTTAAGTTTTGGGTTTGTTCGGTTTTTTTGGTTTTGTTTTTTTTTTATTATTATTTTTTTGTAAGTGCCATTTGTATAACTTAAAAAAAAATAGCTTCAAATGGAGAAAGATGAATAAAAAATAAAACCCGCATTCGGATACAAGCAGTGGTGTGTGGTCTGTCGGGGCGACCGCGGCTGGGGCTACAACAGCCTTTTAATGAGAGGCACGACTCTGAGCATGGAGCGTTTGGTGTGGAAGAGCCTTTGGGGCCAAATTGCTTCACAAAGCTTGAGCTGGTTCTAGAGGGCTCGGATGAATTGGTGGGAAGGGAATGGTGACCAACAGGCTCATCTCCACCAAGCGGCACCAAAGCTGGCTGGAGGCTGGGTCTCCTCTTGAGATGCCCAGAGCGGCCCTAAGCCACCAAAGCCACCAAGCCCACGGGCAGCTTTGAGGACGGGTGAGCTGTGCATGGGTCAGGAAGATGCACCAGCAAACCATCTCTCCTGCAAAGCAGCTCTCCCACCCTTGCAGCCAGGAGCAAAGCCGCGTCGCCTTTCAGCCTGGCAGCGCTGCGAAGGAGCTGCTTTTTCTCCCCTTGGCTCAGATATTTCCCCCCCATGCAAGGGCCCTGAGGGGGACGTGCCCACCGGGAGGGGAGCAATGGGGTGCTGGTTGCAGGTGCATGGCATGGCTGGGGTCAGCAATAAGGCCCCTCCTCTGCTCAGTGATATGGAGAACGGGAAGATAAAAAAAAAGCTAAGGCCGGGAAGGAGGTGGGAAGCCCATCCGCTGCGGCCCAGCCCAGGCCAAAACATGGCATCCGGCCGGAGAAGCCGGGATGTCCGGGATGTGCCCGCAGCCCTCCCGAGACAGCCGAAACCAACCCTAAAACTCAACCAACCCACGCAGGTTTGATGCTGGGGCCAACCTCAGTTTTGGCTATGAAGACGGGGTGCAGCATGTGCTTATGGAAGGGCTGGGGGCCAACTCCATCCCCCGGGCTGAGAGCAGCCAGCCCCTTCGCTGCCCTTCATTTCCCACAGCCCGGCTTGGCACCTGCAGGTCACCAACAGGCTCCTGTTTGGCTTTTAAAATCTAAAGCTGGTTTGCTAGAAGCAAATTTTGGGAAAGAAGGGCTGCACAGCCCCCCCAAAGCACATCCCAGTTAGGACAGCGGGAGGGCATTGCCAGTAGGGACCTCCAGCTTCAGACATGGGTTTAAGCACCGCAGCAAGGGCCGAAGGAAGGAAGGATGTTCGTTCCTTACTATAAACAGAGCGAAATTAAGGCTGTGCAGGAAACGCTGAGCAGCTCTGATTGCCACATGCTCGCCCTCGCCCCCCCAGTGACATCCGTGTGTGCACAAGCAAACCCGGCCGTGACACCTGGCCTGGGGAGGAGGCAGGAGGAGGTTTGCTGGTGCGACCGGGGGTGCCCGCGCAGGGAAGGGGCTCCGGCGCTGCTGCGCCGCGGCAGGGAGGACCCTCGCCCTTCCCACCTCCCCCATTTCCTTTTGCTTTTGAGGCCGGATTCTGTACTTACCATCGCTCCTGCAAGCGCGCATCCTGGTTTCCATTTAAAGGAGCGACTGGAAACCATTTTCTATCCCGTCCAGTTTTTCCTCCGGAGCATGTGGAACACATTAAGCTTTTCCAGGAGGGTCAAATGGGTTTTGCCTTGCAACTTGCAGAGTTTTCAATCGTGCAGGCTGAGATCTGGCAAAACAGTCCTGCCTGCTCGTCCCTGCTGCCTGCTGCTGCCTGTCATTAGCCCCAGCACCGAGCCGGCGCAGTTGGGATGGAAGGATGATGTTTCGGCTGTAATGAAAGCACAGAGGTAAAGGCCAGAGTGCACAAATTTATTTACAAAAATTCAAATTACAATATAATACAGGAACTTTTTACACACAGAATATTAGAACGGTTTACTACCAGAAGGTAAAGAAAAATACTTTTGTTTTTGTTTTGTTTTTTTTTTTTTTAATAAACCACCTATTTATTTTCAGCTATTGTTATACAAAGTTGCAGAACATGCACATCTTTACAGGGTTTCTTTCTTTTAATATAATGTTTTGCTAAGTGCAAATACTAAGTTTTTATCTCCACCTTTAAGGCAAGTAAAATGGGACACTGCAATTAACCATAAGAAGTACCTGTTATGGGATCAGCCTGGGCACAGCAACCTCCCTGTCGCCTTTTAGAGGACAAATGGTTTCAAGGACCGCGAGGTGGGAGGGAAAACGGGATGCAGGAGTTGGAGACCGGATCGTGGATGGCTCTGGTGGTTGTGCAGTAAGTTTTTTTTCTTTTCTTTTTTTCAACAAATCAACAGAGACCCAAGCACTATCAGAATCCACACCTCAAGGTCTCTCAGGTTAGAGGGGAGGAGCAGCCAAGTGCTTTGGCTGCGGAGTAATTTTCGGTGAAATGGGTGTTTCCTCAGGGAGAGAAGCAGGACGGGAGCCCAGCGTCGCCGCAGGGCCGGGTGGAGGGCTAAGCCCATCGCTCGGGGCTGCTGGGTGCAGTGCACCTCCGCACCACAGACCAAGCACAGATTTCTCTCAGACACAAATAAGCTTGTGGATTTGGCAGGGGACATGGGGACAGCGGTCCTCTCCCGCTGCGTCTACCGGGCTCCTCCAGGACCAGACTGTTGCATCATGGCAGAAGATGACCCTCGCATCCTAACCACAAGGATGGACCATGGATACCAACCTTCCCTTGCCACCTCTGCCCAATGCTTCTCCATCCCTCTTGCTCCATCTCTGCACTTCCCTCTGCCAAGGCTTAGCTCTTTACACCCGTGCATCTCTAGTCATGCACCAAAATATGGGATTAGACCATTATTTTTGCCAGTGCCCCCAGCCGCGCAGCTCCGTGGGACACTGGAAGAAGTCATGCCACGTTTGCTTCGTCGTTTGGGCCACCGGTTCCCTGACCCCCCGCTGCACAGGCGGGTGCTGGAGGACAACCATCAGCACCCCGCCAGGGAAAGGCACACGCTTCAGAAAGCCTGGAGGGCTCATCCAAGCCGGCCCTTGAGCCCACGAGATCTCGGTTACTAAAAACCCAGGATTCTCTTTCTGCAAGGGGAAGCCACTCGCACTTCCTTGGACCTGGGTCCATTTTCTCACCACCCGCTAACACGGTGAACACAGCCCTTCCCAAATCCAACAGGACACCCTGCTGCTGGCTACTGCAGGAATCACTCAATGCAAGCCAGGATTTAAACCTGGCTAAAACCCAGCTGAGCAGTAAGCGATAAGCTCCTGCAGCCCCTAGACTACTTCCAGAAATAA